ATTAGGATTTGGTTAAGTAGTAGGGTTAGATTTGTTTGGAGAGAAGAGGTGAATGAGAAAGAGAAGGAGTTTTGGGGTCGGAGTAGGATCTTAAATTAGGTGTTTTTTTTTAAACAAACTCAGAATATGAAAAAAAAAATCAACTCATAGAGGAGTTATTCCTCAAAGCCAAAATCAACAGCAATTGTCAATAGTCGTTGTTCTACCAGCATTCCAAAAAACTAAGTACCATAGTTGTCTTCTTGATATTTATATAAGACTCTACTTTTACTTCCCTAAATTTCTCGAATAAACTGAAGTATCTAATAATTTACTAAAATCTGAGTTATCCAATCTTATATTTGGCTTCTCCCTCGAATCATCTTGGAAAAAGGTTGTATTTAGATGGTCTGTCTCTTCATGAATTGTGGAAGGGGAGATCTTAAGGTGTGTCGGCCTTCTTGGCTAATGATTTAAAATGTTTTGCGTGTTTCTTCTCTGTTCCAGCAGAAGGCTTACTGCCAAGTTGATGAGCATTTCCTTTCTTCTTGTGCTCATTCACAAGGGACATGGGTAAATTACTTCCATTCATTATGATATTGTAGTTGTTAGAAAGCCGATCCTGGATCTATTCTCTAAAGGATTCCAATTTCCCCCGAGTATTGATGAACCATCGGGGATCTGGCTGTATCCTCGTTGACGGAAGCTGCTTTGATTGATACTCGTGCTTCAGTATTTTGCCCTTCCGATCACGCTTCGGCCTACAATTATACATCTTCAGCCGCCGTGTAGTGTCGGAGCTACGATTGCCACTTTTGTTCTTCTCCCTTAGGTGAATTGATTTGAGGATTTGGGTTAAAATTTTTGGGTCATAGGTATTATGTATTTGGGCGGGTTTCTAGATTAATTCGGGTGGATTTTTTTAATTTTGGGTAGAAATTTAACAAATATCAAGTCAGTGGTTAGGATCGCGACACGTGTACCACCGTTAACTTAAAGGGTATATATGCTCCAAAATTTGAACGGCAAGGATACTGATGTCCTAATAGTATAACGAAGGGTATATACATACCATTTACAAAAGTTCGGGGGTATATTTGTCCTTTTTCTCATAAAAGAATGTAGAAGGGTGTGAATAACATTTGCAATAATTATAACTAAGAGAATTCATACTTCCATAACTAAAGAATTAAAGTGCAATAGCCGAATTTCTTATTAATTCTGCATTTACATAAATAGATATGACTTCTAATTGTTTTTACTGTTTCTTTAGATAGTTAATTAAATTTTAATCTAGTGTAGGGGAAAAGTAGTAATCCAACTTTACACTTTAAAGTTTTCCGTGCATTCCACATTTATTCCATATTATTGAATATAAAATTTATTTTGCAAATGATAATTTTATAATGATTCACATATTTTCCTATTTTTTATGAGTTTTTAAAAAATAAATTAAAAAGAGCACGAAATCAGAACATTTAAAAATAATATATTTTGAAGTTAGAATATCTTGTTAGCTTGATGATACTTAGATCTTGTTAGCTTGATGGTACTTTTGTGATATATATAATACTTTAATTTAAATACACATACCTACCCACATATATATATACATATATAAAGATTTGAATATAGGAAACATATTTATCTCATAAAAATAAGTAACTAAATAAAAAATAAAAATTAAACTAATATACACCCTTCAACTCACCGTCATTTTAAATCATATGAATTTTCCTTCGACTAAAATACATTTTTTTTCTTAAAAGAAAGTAAATAAGTAAAACGAATGGAAAATGCTTATATTAATATATCACATGAAAAATTTAATGTATAAGAAGAAGAAAAAGAAGAGTAGACTATTATAAATATTTTGTTGTTGATAAATGAGGGAAATCCCTCTATTTATAGCCAACAAAGGGTAGTATCTAGTGTGACCAAGTGCTTATGTACCTTATCTGTAATGTCATGACCCTTCGAAAAAGTGACAATCCTTAAGTAACAACTTATCGAAAAAGTCACAACTCTTTGGAATGCCACAACTCATCTGAAAAGCAACAATCCTTTATAAGTGTCATATCTTATCAGAAAAGTCAAAACTTTTTGGTAAGGTCACAACTCATCAGAAAAGTCACAACCCTTTGGAAAAGTCACAACTCATTAGAAAAGTCACAACCCTTCGAAAAAGTTACAACTCATCGGAAAAGTCACAACCTTTCAAGAGAACATATGTTATTCAAATAGATATAGATGAGTATTTTAGGTAGGGGTACTGTCACGACCCGATTGTTCGAGCCGTGATGGCACCTACTATATTCCACCAGTAGGTAAGCCAAACTAAAACCCAGAACAACTAGTAGTGGGTAAAAAGGCAAAAACCAAGTGACAGAAACAATAGCAACAAAAAGAATAAGGCAAGCCAAAATAATACATACATAAGAACTGAATCCCTCCCAGAACCTGGAAGTCACAAGTACAGAGTCATACTAAGAGTAAAAGTCCCAAAAGTGGACCAACATGCAAAACTATACTTGAACTACAAAGGACCTATCTCAAGTACAAAAGACGAGCCACAAAATATGTGTACAAAAGGAGACGACCATGATCAGGACGTTGTGCTCACCCTCGCCTCCGGATGCTGGCTGCAACTGGCTCGAATAGCGGTGCTGATAACTAGTGCTCATTCCTGCATTACGAGAATAGATGTAGAGTGTACCATGAGTACCAACACAACAGGTACCCAGTAGGCATCATAGGCTGAATGAGTAAGAAAGGTAGAAGCAATAGGAAATGCTAGAATAAAACACATACAGAGGACACGAACAAGAAAAGTAAAGGTATGCACACGAGTATAAAGAAAACAAACCTAAGGTGACTACTTAAACTGACCCCCATAAGCCCAGAAGGTAAAAACCCAAACGATCCAAGGATTGAAGTAAAAACCCAAACGATCCCCTATATGCCCGACAAGTACACAACAAACCTAAACTAAAACTAGAGGAGATTCGTAAGCCCGAAGCATTACAAAAATATCAATATTCTCGAGCTATGAAAGAAAGGAAACACAGAACCTGGATCTCGAACCGCGGGTGAGTCTGCCTATAGTAGATACACCGATACAGTCGAAATCTACAAGAGATAGCACAGAGCCCGAACCTCAAATTGCGGATGTCGATTACCCGTACATAAAGTGATATAACCCGGGGGGGCGGACTCTGTATGTACACTTCATTATAAGATGGTAAATTAGCAACAGGAAGAACAGAGCCAGACCTTGAACCGCGGGTAAAACCTCCAGTTAAGTTACCTTGGCAGCGTAAAGCTTCCAAATAAGCCATCCAAGGATTCCCGCATCTAAAAGTCATGGGCAACTCTTCGTAATCATATTCTATAGATATGCTACCCTAATAAATTCGACATTCCGAACTCAACGGCACAGCCAAAATTTCCATCAGAGATCATCTAGAGAAAGAGTGGGTCCCACTCCCAAAGGACATTTTTAATCAAAATCCACCGAGGGGCTCGGAATGAGTTTGGAGGCCTTAGGAGTCGAACAAAAGGTCGTTCTAAATCAAACTCGACATTCCGGGGCTAACTACTGTCAAAATTTTCATTCGGATGCGTTTTACAAGAATGTTGACAAAAGTCAACCGCTGGCCAGTTTTCAAGGCCAAAATGCTAAAAATGGTTTAAACTCACACATAAAGCCTCGGGACTCGAGTCAACCACACTTCTAGCCTAATTTGGCCATTTCGGAGCTGATAGAATTATCAGAATTCCGTTTTGAGGCCGTTTTCTTGATGAATTGACTAAAATTTACTTTTTAAGCTTTAAGGCCTCTAAAACACCGAAATCTGCACAAAATCCAAATGAACGATCAGGAGACTGAACTGTCAGTGCCAGCAAGTCATAAATGACTTCAGGTTCCTGTAGGAAAGGTCTAACCAAAGAAAAGAAGGCTAGTACACAGAAATGACCTGGAGAGTCATTACAACATTCACTACTAAAAGAACTTTCCTTCACGAAAGTAAGGATAAGGATATACCTAAGCACTCATATAAGCTGGGGAAATGCTCCAGCATCTCCTGCTCGGTCTCCTAAGTAGCCTCCTCGACTAGATGGTGTCGCCACTGGACCTTAACTATAGAAATGGATCAAGAACAGAGATGACGAACATCTCTGGCTAATATGGCTACCAGCTCCTCAACAAAGGTCAAGTTGTCATCTAACTCAACTGAATCGTACTGTAGCACATGAGACTCATCTGGAATATACCGATGTAGCATCGATACATGAAAAATTGGGTGTATAGCTGGAAATGCAGGAGGTAGGGCTAACTCATAGGCAAAATCACCAACCCTCCTCAGGATCTCAAAAGGCCCAATATATCTAGGGGTAAGCTTGCCCCGCCTGCCAAACCTTATCACCCCCTTCAAGAGCGACACCCGCAAGAATATCCGGTCACTAACACCAAAACACAAAGGATGACGCATGTGGTCAGCATAACTCTGGTGCCTTCTCTGAGCTGTCCTCCGCCTATCTTGGATCAACCGAACTCTCGCCAAAGCGTCCTGGAGTAAATATGTAATGTATGACTTAGGCTCCGAGGACTCAAACCAACCAACTGGAGTGCGAAAATTCCTACCATATAGGGCCTCAAATGGGGCCATCTGAATGCTCGAATGATAGCTGTTGTTGTACGCAAACTCCGCCAAAGGCAAAAACTAATCCCACTGACCCCCAAACTCTAAGACATATACCCGCAACATGTCCTCCATGACCTGAATAATGCGATCCGACAGACCATCGGTCTGTGGGTGGAAAGTAGTGCTGAGATCAACCCTGGTGGCCAACTCTCTCTAAAATGCTCTCTAGAAACTGGATGTAAACTCAGACCCTCGATCTGATATGATGGACACTGGCACACCATGAAGACGAACTATCTTCTAAATATAAACACGGTCCAACCGCTCTGCACCGAATGTAGATCAAATTGGGAGGAAGTGAGCAGACTTGGTCAATCAATCCACGATGACCCAAATACTATCAATTCCCCTAGGAGTCCAAAGCAATCCCATCACGAAGTCCATGGTGATACGCTCCCATTTCCACTCGGGAATGGGTAATCTTTGAAACTCCGCACTAGGCCTCTGATGTTCGGCCTTCACCTACTGGCAACTACACATACTTATCAATATTTCTCCTCATGCCATCTCACCAGTAATGCTGCCTCAAATCTCGATACATTTTCATTATGCCTGGATGAATAGAGTATCTGGAATCATGGGCCTCATAAAGAATCAACTGAATCAAGCCCCCAACTCTAGGAACACATAAACGGTCGTCAAACCAATGAACCTCATTTGAGCCTATAGTAGAGAAAAGAGAGGTCATTGTCTGTCAGATGCTCAATCCAGCATCGCTGCCTAGAATTAAGATCCTTAGGACTCATAATTTACTATAAGTTGCGGTGGTTGGTGTAAATCTCACACTGAACCTCATTTAAGTAGTGCCTCCAAATCATGAGCGTTAATACTACCTCCGTCAACTCTAGATCATGAGTGGGGTAGTTGCGCTCGTGTACTCTCAACTGTTGGGAGGCATAAGCAATAACCCAACACTGTTGCATCAAAACATACCCTAGACCAACACCAAAAACATCATAATATATGATAAGCCCTCGCCCTCAATTGGAAGAGTCAAGATAGGAGCGGTAGTAAGCAACTCTTTGAGCCTCCGAAAGCTCAACTCACAGTCCTCAGACCACACAAAAGGAACACCCTGGTGAGTCAATCGAGTCAAAGGTGCAACAATAGTAGAGAAACTGTCAACAAAATGTATGTAGTATCCAGCCAGTCCAACGAAGCTCCTAACCTCAGTCACAGAAGTGGGCCTAGCCCAACCACGAATGGCCTTAATTTGCGTCGGATCCACCATAATACCATCTTTGGACACTACGTGCCCCAGAAATGTCACAGACTCTAACCAACACTCGCACTTTGAGAACTTGGCATAAAGTAGTTGATCTCTCAAAGTCTGGAGCATAATTCTTAGATGTTGTGCATGCTCTTCTCTTCTCCATGAGTATACAAGAATATCATCGATGAAAACTATAATGAAGTAGTCCAGATAGGGCCTAAATACACGGGTCATCAAATCCATGAAGGCAGCAGGGGCAGCCCAAAGGAAAGCACTAGGAACTCATAATGACCATAACGAGCCCTAAATGCGGTCTTAGGGATATACACTGCCCTAATCTTCAGCTGATGGTACCCGGACCTCAAGTTGATCTTAAAAAACACAACAACGCCCTAGAGCTAATCAAACAAGTCATCAATGTGAGGTAGGAGGTATTGGTTCTTCACCGTCCCCTTGTTTAGCTGCCTGTAATCAATGCACATCCTTATAGACCCGTCCTTCTTCTTAACAAACAGAACGGGGGCACCCTAAAGAGATAACTGCGCCGAATGAATCCCTGATCCAGGAGACCCTGAAGCTGAATACCGAGCTCTTTAAGCTCTACGGGGGTCATTCGATAGGGTGGGATATAAATGGGCTTAGTGCCTGGCTCGTCTATAGCAAAGTTGATATCTCTAGCCATGCAAGTTAGTAGGGAATACGTCTGGAAACTCACAAACCACTGAAACTGAGCCAAAGAGGAGGCCTCGATAGATACATCACATACATAAGCCAAATAGGCTAAGCACCCCCAGCTACTAACCTCCGGGCTCGAACATAAGAGATAATCCCAATCGGTGAGCGACTAAAAGACCCTTTCCATACAATCAGGGGTATTCCCGATATGGCTAAGGTAACGGTCTTGGCATAACAGTCCAAAACTGCATGATGTGGGGATAACCAATCCATGCCTAGGATGGTGTTAAAATCAATATATCAAGCAGAATGAGGTCCGCCGGGGTATCCTACCACTGTAGAGTGACCGCCAAGATCTAAAGATCTGATCCACTAATAAAGAATCATCTACCGAGGTCGAAACACGTAACGACACTGTTAAGGACTCAGGGCTCACACTCAATTGAGGAGGGGAATAAACAGACACATAAGAATAAAAGTGAAACAAATGAGATTCCATGAAACCAATTTAGACATACGATGCATGAAAATGATACAAAATAGGGAATTTTCCTAACGACATCATGTAGCCTCCCGAAGATAAGTCACGGACGTCTTAGTACCGATCCACAGAACACTACTAGATTATAGCTCTATACAAGTGAGACCGGTGAACCTGGGGCTCTAATACTAACTTGTCACAACCGGATACCTCAAACCGTGATGGCCTCTACTATATCCCACCAGTAGGTAAGCCCACCTGAAACCCATAACAACTAGTAGTGGGTAAAAGGGTAGAAACCAAGTAGCAGAAACAATAACAACAAAAGGAATAAGGCAAGCTAAAAGAATGCATACATAAGAACTGAATCCCTTCCAGAACCTGAAAGTCACAAGTACAGAGCCATACTAAGAGTACAAGTCCTAAAAGTGGACAAACATACAAAACTATACACAACTAAAAAGGTCCTATCTCAAGTACAAAAGACGAGCCACAAAATATGTGTATAGAAGGAGACAACAATGATCAGAACGATGTGCTCACCCTCACCTTCGGATGTTGGTTGCTACTCACTCGAATGGCGGCGCTGATAACTGGTGCTCGGTCCTGCATCACAAGAATAGATGCAGAGTGTAGCATGAGTACCAAAATAACAGGTACCCAGTAGGCATCATAGGCCGAGTGAATAAGAAAGGTAAAAACAATAGGAAATGCTAGAATAAAACATAGACAGAGGTCACGAACAATAAAAGTAAAGGTATGCACACGAGTGTAAGGCAAACAAACCTAAGGTGACTACTCCAACTGACCCCCATAAGCCCAAAAGGTACACTCATGCGCAAATTGAAGTAAAAATCCGAAAGGACCCCCATATGCCCGATAGTTTTACAGAAAAGCTAAACGAAGACTAAAAGAGATTCGTTAACATGAAACATTAAAGAAATGTCAGTATTCCCAAGCTATGAAAGAAAGGAAACAGAGAACCTAGACCTCAAACCACATGTGAGTCTGCCTAGAGTAGATACACCGATAGAGCCGAACTCTATAAGGGATAGCATAGAGCCCGGACCTCAAACAACGGATGTCGACTACCCATAGATAAAGTGATATAACCCGAGGGGCCAGACTTTGTATGTCGACTCTATTATAGGAGGGTTAATAAGCAGCAGCTCGAAAACAGAGCTCGGACCTTGAACAGCGGGTAAAACCTCCTGTTAAGTTACCACAACAGCGTAAAGCTTCCAAATAATCCATCCAAGGATTCCCACATCTAAAAGTCATGGGCAACTCTTTGTAACCATCTTATAACCTCTAACCATCTCATGATGACAAGAGAACCGAACTGAAGCCGTATGTATCACCGAACGGGCTTAGACGGCGGCCGAAAATGCAGAAAGTTAGAATCATACGGGAATTATGGATGTTAAGGCCCCACAACTGAGTCACTGTCTAACTAAGACTCATCTCTATCAGATCCAAATCTGCTATATCATTCTACCTGGACCTATGTTGCTCAAAGTCACACTAGGGGGAAAATAATATAATCTACCGGCTCTGAACAATCGTGATACAATGGCATCACTAGTCTAAGGCCAAACATGCTACAATATAACTAATAAGTCAAAATCAGGCCAAACAAGGAAGCAAGGATGATCAAATATAACAATTCAAGTACCCGCTGAACTCGGAGACGGCCTAAATATGAATTTTATCGAACATAGCATGCTAATCTAGTTCCCCACCCGAATATTCATGCAAATCCACATACACTCACACATTCAAACTCAATCTAAAAGAAAAGGGAAGTCGTAGCCTACATGTAGACCGAACACACACGCTCCAAACTACTCCGTCGGAGCTATTCTATTCTGAACGGCCTCGGATGGCTGCCACACTGTCAAAAATAGAGTCACAATGGCGTTACAGTCGTTTAGACACTAAATTCGCAAAAAACTGAGGCAGACCAATTTCGGGATCAAAACGAGAAAAGTGGGACCCACGCCGAAAATTCTGGAATTAACCCCAAAAATAGGTTCTAAATAGCTCCTCGAACTTTTTTTCCAAATTGGAACACATTTCGGGGCTCGGAACAGTCCCAACACGAAAATGCAACGAAAAACCAAAAATTACGCTAAAAATGAACAACAATGGCAGCTGCTATTTACAAGAAATTACTAGAACAAAAACCCAACTGCTGAAACCAGCCATACCACAATGATCCTCACGAAAAACCCCATAGTGTAGTCTCTTGAATCACCAAATTCGGACCTAAAATAGCCAAGAAATCATCTTCCAAAATTTCCCAAAAATTGCGCTCGAAAATGAGCTATGGCAGCAGCTAAAACATAATTCTTACCTCCAACAAAGCTTCAAATACAAATTCCAACCACACCAAAACGTTCTCCTAGAAAAACCAGTCAACATAGCCCCAAGAATCACCGAAATCGGATCTAAAATGGCTGAGATATCAAGCCTCAAAAATTCCCAAAATCAAGTTCACAAAAAGGGTCGTGGCAGCAGGTATTTCACAAAATATACCTCAAACGGAGACCCCAAATCAAGTTTCTGAGCTGACCAATGCGTTCCTCGAGAAAAACCCCACAAGATGGACCTTCGAATCACTAAATCGGACTTGAAATGAGAGAGTTATGAATGTTTGAAGTTGAGAAATAAGGCTAAAATGGCCTGCACCAACTATATATATCAGCTGAAAAGCTGATTTTTTTTATGCCAACTTTAAAATATTCGACAGGGTACTTGGGATTGGTTCGAAACCTAATAAAAATAAAATAGATATGCTACTCTATTAAATTCGACATTTCAGACTCAACAGCGCAGTCAAAATTTCCATCAAATGTCATCTCAATAAAAAGTGGGTCCCACTCCCAAAGACCATTTTTAACCAAAATCCACCGAGAGGCTCGGAATGAGTCCGGAGGCCTCGGGAGTCGAACGAAAGGCCGTTCTAGACCAAACTCGACATTTCGGGGCTAACAACGCTGTCAGAATTTTCATTCGGACACGTTTTTCAAGAATATTGACCAAAGTCAATCGCTGGCCAGTTTTCAAGGCTAAAACGCTAAAAATGGTTTAAACTCGCACCGAAATCCATGAGACTCGAGTAGACCACACTCCTAGCCTAATTTGGCCCATCTGAAGCTGATGAAACTGTTAGAATTCCGTACTAAGGCTGTTTTCTTGTTGATCTCAGTAAAAGTCACTTTTCAAGCTTCAAGGCCTCTAAAACACGGAAAGGTGCACAAAATCCAAACAAATGACGAGGAAACCGAACTGTCAGTTCCAGCAAGTCATAAATGACTTGGGGTCTCTGTAGGAAAGCTCTAATCAATGAAACAAAGGCGGGTACACATAAATGACCTGGAGGGTCATTACAATTACTATAGTAATTTAACGGCTGAACCTATCAGTGACCACCTAAAGTTGGCACTAAGTTTCACTTAGACACCTCAACTGAGTGATGTTCATTTGAGACATCTCATGTAGGGTCTCATTGTGTCATTTTGACACTTTTTGTTAACATCTCAATGTGAGTGTGATACACTTAACAATAGAGCGCGAAAGACTCAATTTAGCTATTTTTTCATTTTATTTTCTCTTCTTCTTCTCTATATTTCAAGTTACCACCTCCCACCATTTTTTGAAACTTAAACTCCTTTAATGGAGGTTGAATGTTTTATTCAAATCCGTTTTCAAGTCCTTTTTCTTTTTCTTCATTGTATTACTTCTCTAAATCTACAATCACCTCCCTCCACCTTTTTTGCCGGAAAAATGGATACCAACATTCATATTTCATATTTATTCTCTCTTTCTTTCTTCCTCTCCCTCTTTTCTTCCCACAAAACAACACTAAAAAGAAAGAAAAAAATAATAAATATGAAAAATAGTAAAAGAAAAAATTAATTTTTTAAAAAGTACAAATGAGATTTTGAGTGTAATGAAAAAGACGATTTTCGATGGGAAAGGAGGGTAAGATACCATCACCGCTCTCCACCTTTTTCGTCGGAAAAAATGGATACCAACAGTCATATTTTATATTTTTTCTTTCTCTCTCTCCCTTCCTCCCCTTCCTCTATTTTTCTTGAAAAACAACACCAAAATAGAAAGAAAAAAAAGAGATCCTAAACAATTAAAAAAAGTAGATTAAAAACATGGAGATGGGCCTGAAATGCCCCTCAAGTATTTGAATTGGCACAAAATTACCCTCCATCCACCTATCGGCACTAAAATATGCCTGATGTCCACCTTTCTTCTCAAAAATACCCTTATGGCTAAAGGATCATACTCATTAAGTGGATGGATGGTAATATTGTACCAAATCTCATAGTTTAAGGGCATTTTAGGCCCTTTTCCGTTAAAATAATTTGAAATTACTTAATATATAAGCTCACATGATTGACTTGATTTTGAATTTCATTGTAAATTTAAAATTATAAAAAGGTTAGGCATCTACTCTCTACACTACTCCCTCCCCGGCCCTTCACTTCCTATTTCTTCCATTTTTTTCTATTTGGATCTTGTCCACCCTTTTATTTTATTTTAATTTATAACAAACAAGAGAGAAAAAATGAGGAAAATAGTGATGCATTCATTTAGAAATAATTAGTTAAATAAAAGATGACTTAATTAAGCAAATATGTACAAATATTACATTTTTCTTTTGTGTGTACCCATTATTGAAAATAAAAGAATAAAAATAATCATTTCTCTTATCCCCACCCTCATCCCATCATGACAATAATACTAATTAAAAGAATATAAATATGTAACTACATATCAAGTTTGAGTCCCAAATATCTTAATTAAGAATAAGAGATTACAAAAAGGAATAAAAGAGAAAATGAACAAGACATTTGGATAATTGAGAGAAAATTTTATATTAATGAAAATTATAATTTTTTTAGATGGACAATCAATCGAGGTAAGTATGGATTTTAGTTGGATCCCATTTATGAGTTGGGTTACATTATAATAAATTGGGGTCGATTTAAAATAAGCCAATAGGAAGATATCATGAAATTAATTATTTTTTCAATATTTTTTTCAAGTGTATTGGGTTAAAATATGAATCATAAGTGGTTTTATAGAAAAATAGAAATTTTAAAAATATCATTTTTATTATTTTTTTGAGGAGGATTTAAATTTTGACCAATCACATTAAGCAATATAATAAATAAATATTTTAATAATTTTACTTTAAGGGAGCTATTAGAAATAAGGGCAAATATGAGTCAAAGGATTTATATCGAGGGTATTTTTGAGCCGAAAGGTGGACGTCAGGGGTATTTTAGGGCCGATAGGTGGATGTAGGGTAATTTTGTACCGATTCAAATATTTGAGGGGCATTTTAGACCCTTCTCCGTTAAAAAAAATATTGGGTGTAGTAGAGAAGACAACAACCTTGGGAAAAAGGTCTGAAATATATCTGAAATTTGATCGAAATTGCTATAACAAAACCGAACTTTGGAAAGGACCTTTTACCCCCCCCCCCCCCCCCCATACTATTTAATAGTGTATTTTAAAGGTATATATGTGCCCACATGGATATCATAAATATGACATCATTATAAATAGTAATGTGTCCACGT